TAAATTAAATTCAATTCAATTCAATTCAATTGAACTTAACTCAACTCAGCTCAAGTCAAGTCAAGTTAATTCAAGTCAGTTCAGGTCAGCTCAAACTCAATCAGGCGAGTTTAGTGTAGTTCAATTCAGTTCACAGCAACACAACGCAATGCAATGCACTCTTTCGTTCGCTCATCGATGCATTTCGTCATTTTCAGCTTGTTGATGTCTCGCCTTCTGCTAGACCCCCGCAGGACATTGGGACCCAGATGCAAGACGGAGGAGCCGGAGGCCCCAGATGGAGACTTGGTCTCTTGCAGATTGGTGAACCCCAAACCTCGAGTAGGGCACTTCCCTGCCCGTTCTTTTGGGTGTCCCAAGGTCGTTTCGAGGCCCCAAGGCACGGGTTCTTCAAGCAAGCGCTGAGGTCACCTTCTTCGCGCCCTTGTTCGACGACCTCATCTTCTGCCAGCTTCCCGTGGCAAGAAATGGGTATGGCTCAAGAAACCGGCACCAAAATGGAACCCTGGTAAGTGGAAACATGGACCCTAGCTCTGTAATTTTGAGCCACTGCCAAATGTGCGTGTCCGTTTTTTGAGGGCACCCATTTTGGGATGGCTTTACATGTATTTCAAGGACACCACCGATTTTGGAGGTTGCATTTTTTGAGGGTACTCATATTGGACTGCTTTGGAATATCAAGGCCACCACCCGATTTTGGAAGTTGCCCTATTTTGAGACAGGCCCAAATGGGCGTGGTGTCGTGTTTTGAGGATGCGTGTTTTTTTCTTACCTTGGTCGGTTCCGCAAGCCAGCACTGTGCTCTTTGAAGTTTCGGAGTGACCGAGAACCTAGCATTTGGACAAGCAGAGCTGTTTCCAAATACTGCACTGTTGTTGGTTCCGGATCTTTGGATGTTTGGCCAACTTGGTTGTGCTCCAGTGGAGGGTCTTGTCTGATGCTTATGGTAGCAACAAATTGGTTGCCAAGCTTTGCCGGGGGTTCTAGATCGATCAGGGATAGTTTGAACGAGTCCTCAGCGTTTGGTAGCCAACCCGCTGGATTGCTTGCGTTGTTGGAGCCCGTGCTCCCTCATCCTTGTACAACCCCAACAACCAGGTGCTGCCCAAGTTGGGTCAGACAGTTTGGCAGGGCTTAACAGGTCCCTGACAGTCAAGCGAGATGAAGGAGGCGATCGTTGACAAGTGACGTGTATACCCCACTCACTCCCCGAGTTCCTGGACGTTATATTTTCGGTGAGGACTATTTTAGTGGCAAACACAAAGTTGGGTTTTGGCCATTCCACTCAGGAAATCACCCCTTTTGCTGTTATACCATGTCTAAGTGGATTTCGATCAACACTTCCATGGGCAGCCATGGGTAGATGGCGCAGCATCGGCGCCGGGTTGGTGGTTCAAGTTGAAGAGACGCCAGAAATCAAAGTCAGACCAAACACCTGGCTTCTTTTCTGAAGCATCGTTTTTTGGCTGGTTTCCCTTTTGAGCAGCCTGAAATCCTTACCCCTGGGGAACAACAACAACATCCCCATATTTCCGGGTCCATTTCTGCTTTTCAGGGGCCCGCACTCCCAGATACCCGTTTTTTCCCCCCCCCCCTTTTTTCCGGCCCGCCTTTTTTTATTCCAAGAATACCTTCGTTTCACAACATGCGCTTAGCATAGCCAGATCGGTACCTCGCTTCACGTGTTGAAACACAGGTCGCTACACCAGAGGTGTGGTCATGTTCCAGACCCAGAACTTCAGCCTAGGCTTCCGGGACTGGCGGGACTCACAGAAATCAGTCACATTGTTGCCAGACAAATTCGGCCAATACCCACCAAAGACAAGGATTTCCTCCAGAATTTCCTGCTGACTTCTTGGAACGGGTGCTTTCGGTTGAATCAATCGTTTCACCATTTTGGAGCAAGGAGAAGCGCGCTGACTGGCGCATGCAATGAGATGGTTGTGACTCAAACGAATCAAGCCTGGATCTAGCTTTTGTCGGCGATTGGCTGGGTTTTGGATGTGGCTCATTTGGAGATGGAAGAACTGAAAAGATATCCCACACACTGTTCTTTGCAGCCCCCGACTGAGACTGAGAATGAATAGACGCCAAACAACAAGGAATGAAAACATATGCCGACAATGAAACGGACTGTAACACCAGACTTACATCCTTCCGCAGCCCAAAGACCCCCCCCCCGCAGGCGTGCTGGTGTAAGCGTGCCTAAGGGCAACCTCGCAGACAACTTCCTTAAAAGGATGTTGATTGGGGAAGAAATGCATGAAAAATGTGGCCGAGACTCCACGTGGGGATGGCTTCAAGGGCAAAGGCACACTGGGAGAGATCCTTGGAAGGAGAAACAGTTCTTTTTTTGCCAGCTCATCGTTTTGCCAAGAGTTTCGTTGGGCATTGCTTGGGCCCCCAGCTCCCTACGGGGCGAATGAGGGGAAACCGAATGTCGGCCTCTCTGACCACATTCACCCCTCTCCAGCCACACCAACCACAAAACCGACAAGGCAACTTGCGAGAATATGCCTCCTTCCCCGGACTTGCGTTATTTAAGACAAACATTGGCCAGGGAAAACCTAGCAGTGTTGTCAAAGGAACAATCCCCTTGCCAGGAGGTTTTCCCTAGGTGGCAAGAGAGTGCCAAAAATTAGGGCTCCGCCTTTCAGCAAAGGCAACGGTTCAAGGGGTGCTCTCCCCCAGTTTGCACACCAAATGCTTGTGGGGTCCCCCCACTCTCGGACGACCCCCAAGCTCATCAAGCAGACTCACGCAACAGGCGAGTACAAGTTCACGGTGCAGGCTGGCAAGAGGTTGAGGGCTTCCTCAGCGATGGGGCGGTCGCTTGTTCTGAAGGTTTCACCGCACTTTTCGCATGGAAGACGAAGGCTTCGGACTGGCCCAAACCCTCCAGCGGGGTCTTTTTCAACTTGGGTGAAACGGCTGGCATACGCCGTTCGGCCTGAGCCCCACTGTTTAACCTGGTGTGGTAAAACCTGGACGGTTGTTCCGAGTTGAAGCCGTATCCATAGAAGTCCGCCTTGTTCGAAGGTGCTTTTATACAACGTTCGAGGTTCCGGGCGCTGTTGGGGACGCTTCTCGGGCTTCCACTGCAAGGGGCTCGTGTCTTTGGGGTCATCTTTGTGTCGGCCGGAATCCCACTCCACCGGGGTCTGCACACATTTTGAGATAGGGGCCCTTCGTCACGGGTCGTGTCATCTTAATCCCGGGCAAGCTGCTTGGGATATGCGTGGAGCTTTGGCACCTCATAATCTGTGGACTTGAGAATTCGTTGACACATGCCCTTTTGCCAACCGTCCGGCGGGGGTCGTGACCTCTCGGCAAAGTTGACCTTGGACACTCAAGCGTCGAGACGCCTCAAGCATCAGTGCACTATACTGTAGCTGCCCATTGAATGGTTGGCCTTTGGATGTCCAAAGTACCAACCACCAAGCGATGTGCTAGAGTGCAGCTTCCTTGTGCCAGCCAAGAAGCTCAGCCCTTCCCAGAGGGCGCCCTTTGTTTGGGCCCTCAAACTGGTCACGATTGACATTGAAAGGTGTGATTTTTTCGGCCCACCAGGCAAGCCATAGGCAACCCCTCGGTATTTTTAGCTCTGGGTTTGGTTTCCCTTACCGCCGAACGCCTGGAAGAACCGGGTGCAGTTGGGCAAGAGTGTTGCTTGCTCGTTTTCGGGAAATGGAGTCCGAGCGGTTTACACCATCCAAGCTGGTTTCCTTTCAGGGGGCCAAAGGGTTACCCTCCAGCTTGTGTTTCCTGGGCCAAGGCTTCGCACACCATGTCCAACTTTGCGTTCAGGGGGCCGCCGCCCTCCGTTCGCAAACCATGTCTCTGGGACTGGACCTTAACGCGCAGGCCACCAGCTACGACGGGCGTCAGGCGCAGGAGGAGCCGGGAGCTGGTCAGATCTCGAGGGGGACGGAGTTCGCGGAAGGAATCCCAAAAGGACTCCTTGCATGTGTGTGTGGGGGCTTCCCCTTTGAGTCAAAGTTTTTTTTTTCTTTTTTTCTCCGGCCGGCGGTCTGAAGAACAAAAGGGCTCATTTGGCTGCTCCTTAGCATTGCCAGACCCACTAGCCTGCCTTTGAGCTCTTTGGCCAAACGAGCCGGCAGAAACCGCCACTTGTGACGGGGGGTCGAAGTATAGGCGTGTGGACCATGAAGGTCCTCGGCGCCCTGTTTTTGGCATCATTCGGTGGATCGTCCCACCCAACATGGATCTGCAGGGCGGCCAACAACCCCTCGTGCTTTTCAGGTATTTCCGTGGTTTGTCGGGGGAGGGGGAGTGAACAGACCTCACTTGGTTTCAAACGAGGCTGCATTATTCATACGCGGCGCGCAAAGTGTATAGGCTGTGTGTGTAAAAGGGTTGCCATTGATCAGACTCTGCCGATTTTCCTTTCGGTTCAGGGAAGCCTTTAAAGAGGAAGTCTTCCGGCCGCCGTTTGGACCCGACGGGATCGTGCGGGTCTGGGTTTCAGGATGTCTTCATCACCATGACGGATGTCCAGGTCCCGAAGATCGCCCCGGCCTCAACCTGGGGTTTCCGGGAAGAACGCCGGGTGAATGTTTCGGGATGTCGGCCTGAAGAAAGGGCGAGCCGCTTGAAAGGTGAGATTAACAGGTTGCATTGTGTTACACCAAGAAAAACAGGATGGCACCATTTGCGGTAGATGGTAAAGGACATGACGAGATGAGGGAAGTGTGACATCTGGGTTCACCCCACTCTTGCTGGGGTTGTTCAAGATCAATCGGACTTAATGGAAGTAGCTGGTTTCCCCTGTAGCGGTTTCCACTACGAAGTACGCAGTGGGATTTGGGATCGATCCCCTAGTCTAGGGACGCTCTCGGAAACGACTCGGAGTCTTTGTGAAACTTCAAGGATGGAGTCATTGCCCTAAGCTTGCGGGTACCTCACTCATTTGTAAAGACTCCAGGTATCCATTGTTACGTGTCCATTTCCCAATGTTTTGGAGACGCACATTACGAATTATCCATCGGATTCCAGGATTCCAAACCACTCACATAGATCCCCTATTTTCGAGGACTGCCCTGAGCAACCTCCAACCCGAAAGGAACTTGCCGAGGCGCACAAGGGAAGCTCCGATGAACGGGTGCGGATACCATTTTGGGCAGACTCCCTTGCCGGACTTTCCCAGTTGCTGCACCCGTACGTAGCCTGTTTGGGGTAGGTGGGAAATAAACCATGAGTTTTCCGCCCGGCAAGCGGCCAGAAGGGCTCCCCAAACGTCTCTCCTTGGTGAATTTAATTCAATCGCCAGTGAGTCTCCCGGGTGATGTTCAAGGCTAGGACGGAACGATCAAGCGCTTTTGGCCGACGTATGCGAGCTTTCAGTTCAAAGGAGCCAGAACCGGCTGAAAGCAAGGGGTTTCGAGACGCGGGATTTCTGGTTGCAACATGTATGCCGAGTTCGCGGCGTTTTTTGTTTCTTCTTTTTGTCTCCGGGGCATTGGGCAAGTTATCCAGGGGGCATCCCATCTAATTTGTGATTTGGGGCAATTTGCCCAGAAGTTGTGTTTGGCACAACCCAAGCTGCCTCATAGACAGAGTGGTGTTCTACAATCCGGGTGAGGCAAAAACCGAGCATGCTCGGACACGGCAGATCCTCAACTCCACTCTATTAGTTGTTTTGTTCTATGTTGGCCGTGTTCCTTTTGTCGGGGTACCCTCCCACCAACTAACATGGAAGTGCAAAAAAGGCAATGTCCAAGAGGAAAGCCGTCTTTCTATAGTGGGTCTGCGCATTTCCATGTTAGCTGGTGGGAGGGTAGGCAAAAATGGGGCAAGTGTGGCAAGGCACAATGGGATCTTTGGATTTGTACGTGCCTGGTCCATCCTGGTGCCCAGTTGCTGACGGTGGCAGATCAGAAAGCCAAGTACCCAGTGTCCATGCCTATCCAGATCTCTGGCACAGAGGCGTGTCTCTTGGGCTTGTCGATCGCCGAGGGCTGCTTTTGTTTTGTTTTTGTTTTTTGCAGGGGAGGTTGGGGCAGTCCAAGCTGCCGCGGAACATGGCCAGACTCAACCCACGCCTTTTGTCATTTTGCCCTTTTGGGGGTCGCTTCATTTTCTCTTTTTGCCGCCGAAGGTGAATTTTTGGCGAGAGGATCTGCATTTGGACATCTGGCTTTGGAACTTTCGGGTGGCTACGCAGTGGTCCCACCCCGGAGCCTTGCCCGTGTCTCTTGATGTTACTTCGTCCACGAAGTGGGGATCAACATCTGCGTTGGGACCAGATGCAAACGTGACCCCTTGTTCACACTCCGAAGGGAATCAAAGGGTTGGCCAAACGGAGCATTTTAGCCATGTCCGGGATTGCATGAACAAAGGGTCCAACTGGATGGCTACTGGCTCACAGGTTGCCCTGTGCGTTCGGCAACACCATAGGTTGTTTTCATGGAATTTCACAAACTCTAGTCAACCCCCAGCGCTTTGCAACGCTTTCTCCGCGTTTTCGCGTGTAAAAGGCCGTGGCTTTTTGGTGTGTTTCATGAATCGTGCGGTAAGCTTCGACCTGGAGCAGCTGCATGCGGTTCTTCGACCGGAGCAAAGGCCGACTTAGCCCATGCAAAAGGAAGTGGGTGATGTTTCTCAATGGTTCCAGGCTTAATGTTAACCGCGGATTAATAAACCCTGGTTGATTAATAGGGGGGTGTCCCCTTTTAGTGGGGATTCATCGCTTTTGGACAGAGCACCCCCTATAATGGGACGGGTTGATTAATCCTGGGTCAAAATTAGTCAATTCCCCCCCCCACATAATAATCTAGGTCCCTCAGCTAGGTGCCCTTTCTTACCCCTTTTTTGATTGGGCGGCTTCCCCTGCTAAAATAGACGACAAAAAAAGGTACCCTTATTCTAACCTCTCCACTGGAGGACCTGGTAACATTAACAATAACAGTAGTAATGATTACCATGATATTAATAATATGAATGACAATGATGACACTAATGTTAATGATAGTAATGATAATGATTATAATAATGATAATACAACATACTAATAAAAATACTTAATAATAATACAACATACTAATAATAATACTTATTAATAATACTTAATAATAATAATAATAATAATAATAATAAAAATAATAATAATAATATAACTAATAATAATGATAATAATAATAATAATAATAATAATAATAATAATAATAATAATAATAATAATAATAATAATAATGATAATGATAATGATAATAATTATATTACTAATATTAATAATGATTATTTTGATAACACCAATAACATGATACTAGTAATAAAAATAACAGTTAATCAAAATAACAGTAATAGTAAACAACAAACATAATATTACGTATAATACTACTTATTCCACTACTACTGATACTAATAATAATGATAATATTAATATCAACAGTAACAATACTCAGTAATAATGATAATAGCAGTAATATAATACAAAACAGTAACATACAAATAGGCATCGTAACACAAATGATAGTAATAATACACAAAACAACTACAACAAACGGTAGGTCTTCTTCAGGGACCCCCCTTTTTGGGTTGGTTTTTAAAGGCCATCAACAAAAGAACCCCCCCCCCCCCCATTTTTTGCTCGATAAGATGAGGATCGCTCTGAATCTGCGGTTCTGTTTCCCTTTCCCTAGTTTCTGGACAAAGTTGGAAGATCATTGTTGTGGCAAACGGGTCTGGGATTTATTCTGAACTCAGGGGAAACGAATGAACCCTTGGAGTCGATGCTGCCGCCTCCCCCTTTGGGGGCATTGGTGTTTTATAGGTTTCTTGGCCGCCAAACAAACTCTGAATATCCATGGCACCCGAAACGGGGCGGGGCCACCCATTCTGTACACCTTTATACCCGTGTGAGTAGATGCCAAGGTCCATGTAGGCGCTCAATCGGGGCTGGGGACGGCTTTTTCCTCGGCCTTGGGGCCGGGATTGCATCACGGAAAGGCGTTTGCAGGACACCTGGCCATGGGTCAAAAGCCCGGTTAGCCCCCAGTGAACATCCCAATCCCCATTCTAAAATGGGTGGTGAATTCACCTACCCCAAAATGGGATCCCCTTTGTTTTGACCCACAGCTACCTGTTTAAGCCGACAGGAAAGCCATGGGAAAGCAACAGGCCGCCTCACTTGCTGGTGCGATAGGACGGAATGAACCTAGGGATTCCCTGAAAGGAAAGCGCAGGGGATGGTGTATAGGGGTCATTCCCTCACTCCCTGCTGAGAACCAGCAAGCTCAAGTTAAGCTCTTCTCAACCGTAGGCAACCCCATGGGAAGCTTTAAGCGATAAACAACAAGTCCAGTTGTTTTTGTCCACTCAAGTGAGTGTTAGAACCAAACCTCAATGGCTACGCAAGCCTTTCTCATGTGGATTTGTCCTTTTGAGAGCACCCCCCCCAACAAAAAAGAAGAGAGAGAAACAAACACCTTTTTGACCCCCCCCCCCCCTGCCCCACAAAAATAAAAAGAGAGAAGAAAACAACAAGAATAAACCATCCGTGGCTTCTCTTTGGTTCCCCAAGAAGGACCTCCTCAAAAAGGACCCCACCTGTCTGCTAGGAGGGCGTGAAGAGCGAGGCGGACAGGACCTACAGCTGGACGGCGCGATCCCCGCGATTCCCCCGACTCGCGACGCGCGTGGTTTTTGCTTCCCCAGTTTACAGCATGGCTTGAGGGAGTTTCCTTGTTTGGCTTGGTGTCCTTTTGATGACTTCTTGGATGTCCTTTTTTCCGCCCCAGCTGAAACACCATGGTTCGAACACCTGTTCACTTGCTGGCTCTCACTAGGCTCCCTGACGAAATGACCTCTGTGTTTATCTCTAAGTAGGGAAAACGCAAAAGCGGCCAGAAAGGCACACCCAAGAAAGAGGGTGGTTTCCCCGAAAGGAGATTCTGATGGTTTCTGGGTTTCTTGTTCATTCGCAGGGTAAATGTGCGGTCTAGATTGCCCTTCATCAACCTCGTGGAATGACATGAACTGGAACAATGGGTTGACTCATCAACGTTAGTAGGGAATATTGATAGTCTATGCATGACAAGCCCTTGCTCCCACCAACATGGCGTAAAGCATCTTGGAGACTCCAGCAGCATCTTGGGTTTGATACAAGAAAGCAATAGCAATGATTTCTTAGCCCAGAGACAGCACAGCTGCGGACCCAAGAATGGAATGCTCCAATGGGACACCCGCGGACACCCTTTTTGGCAATGTGGGGGATCCTCTCATTGCAGGCGAACCAACTACTTTGCCAGGGCTTGCAACCGGATTTGTTTGCGTCTCAAAGTGGGATCCCCTCCAGTTTCTATTTTTCCCCCAGATAGCTGAAAGCTTTTGGCTAATAAAGCGGGGAAGTGATTTGCGAGATTGACGGCTGTGTGCTAGATGGCGTGCAGTTGGGGTGCTGGCGCAGATGCTGTTGTGCTGTTAGGGTGTGTGTGTGTGTGTGTGCTGTTTGAGGAGCTGTTTGTGGTGCTGACAGTGCGGGCGCAGCTTTTCAAGATTGATAGCAGGAAGCTTGCAGTTTTCGCGTGCTGTTTGGGCTGGTGACAGTGCGGGCACAGTTTTGTCAAGATTGACCGTAGGGCTATGGCGTGCAGTTTGGGGTGCTGGTGCAGGTGCTGTTTTGGGGTGCTGGCGTTTTTCGCTGTCTGGGGTCTTTGCTGGTGTAGATTATTTTTGGGTTTTCCTTGAAACGGTGGCCTTTCTAATTCCAATTACTGTTAAGTCAATCTTCACTCTGATTTGATCCAGGCCTTAACAATCTGAGCAATCCCCCTGAAATAGCTCTGCACTTTCCTGGGGAGCGACCCTGCTCCTCCGAAGCTAGCATCATGCTTCAGCAGGGCCAACCACAAATTGCAGGCCACGTGGGAGTGCTCACCATGTCTCAAGCAAGCCACCGCATTTGACATGCTTGGACGGAATCAGAATGGAACATGAGCATCCTGGGAATCATGAGGATTCTAAGGCTGAAAGTAGATGGCCCAATTGGGGAATGCCATCTACTTTCAACTGTGATCCCAACAATGGCCATTTGAGCCAGGGTTGACCCGGGTTTGAATCGCCAAGTCCTGCTTCCTAATGCATGCTGCCTGGAGCTTTTATCACCATGGGGGAGCCAGGTGCTTTCCCCCCTCCCCCCTCCCAAACAAAATCCGAGACAAAGCAACAACAGCAAGAAACAAAAGCAAAACAACACCATGATACCAGGGTGTATAACCAGCCTTGTTCCTATTTCGAGCATGCACGAAACATGCGTTGGAAGTCGCCATCCACCCCAACGGTGGTTCCAATTCGCAATGCTTGTCTCATGACCTGCCGAAGCTTCAGTCCCATAGGTGTCCTTTTTGGTTGATTTGCTTGAAAAATAGAGGGCGATTCCTGGTTTAGATGGGGTTTATGCCCCATTTATTATGGCCATCTATTTCTCCAAAAGGTCACCTATGTTCGGTCCCTGCTTCAGCCAGGTGCTGGCCTACTATCCCAACCCGGACTATGACCCGGACCTCGCTCAGGAGCGAAGGGCTGAACGGCTCGCTCCTTTTGGCGTCTTGGAGGTCAACCTGCTTGGTACATAGGCTTCAACTAGGGTTGAGGTGATTCAGACCCCTGTTAAAGCACGTTTTAACGCTTGTTGGGACTGTGTTAAAAACTTCAAAAGGGGACCAGGACCGGTTGTCTAAACAAACCTTGCCCGCCCATTCATGGGACAACAAAGGTCAGTTCACTTTCACTTGTAACCATAGTTCTAGCCGACTGATTAATCAATTTTGGTTGAGCATCCAAGTAATAAGATTCCATTTCTTGGATTTCACCCTTTTTGTAGTTGGTAACCGCATACCCAGGGTTCCCCTTTTGGCACTGGTTTGAGAGGAATGGACCCCTTCCTAGAACTTGGCTCTGTCAGACAGGCTTCCAGCTATATGGCTCTTCAAGGATGGTTTTGGCATCGCTTTTAGTACCTGGACATGCCCTTGTATGAATTTGAATGGGCACTTCCACTTAGTAAGTAGGCTATAAACATGGTGAAACGTGGAACAATTCTTTGTACTTGGTTTTGCACCACAGCTATGATCTACTTCGTATCTAGGTTGAACATCCAAGTACCTGGCGCGCAGGAGCGGCTGAACGATCCCAACAACCCCTACACGGTGGATCAGTTCAAGTACGTGGACCAGTCGGCTCGATTCGCCCGGACTGCCCAGTGCACCCCCACGGGGGTCCGCCAAACGTCACCACCTACTGCCACTTCTTTCAGTGGATGTCGACCAAGGGAGGTCTTTAGCATGGAAAGCCTCGTGTTTCTCAAAAAGCCGCGTGAAACTTGGGGCCACAGGCAAGCCAGCCTGGAAACCCCCCCCTTTTCGGGTCCGTTCGGACATCATTGGATGAGTTTGCCTTCAAGTGGGACGATGTTGGGGTGGTTAATCCATGTTGTCTGCGTGCTTTGGTTTCTTTGCCCTGACTTCTTCTTTAGTCACCAGTATGCCAGCTTTGATTCGTCCATCATTTTGAACCATGGACGATCGCTCCCAGACCTCCAGTACTCTTTTGTCCCTCCAAGCAACAAAAAGCTCCGTGTATTGCCGGGCCAAACGCCAGGGTGAGGCGTTTTGAAGAAGGAAGCCAAGCTTTCCAGCCCCGCTCTACTCCTGTGCGAGCTAGCCGTACGACCCTTTTGGGCTGCGAAGCCTGGGAAAAAGCATCTCACACTCTGCCAGAGGCCCTGCGATTTTGCGCGGAAGTGTTGCATGGGGAAAAGGGTGGGTTTGGGGGGTGAGCTTCAGTGGGTTTAGAGTGGGTTTTGGGGTATGGTTGGTTTCTGGCCCGTGTTTTGGGTGTTTTGTTGAGGGTTCTCAGAACCAATCCAACAAATGGAGCAAACACAAGGCCAAACAGCACAACAAGGGCAAGATGTGTTTAAACAAGACCTTGCAAAGAGAAGCTTGTTTCAGCAATGTCGGCGCAACACATTTAAACGCCAATCCCAAAGATGCCTCGGCAAATAGCCGGAGGCATAAAGCATGGGGTCGTTTGTCCAACTTTTCGTGGCTCCTGTTGTCCGGTTCCGTTCCACCCGCCATTTTCTCCGTCTGGCGAAGCTGACATGCGCCTGTCTAAGGACACTCGAGACCAGCGCCTCTTCCGCACCGATCCGCGCGGGGCCCAGTTTGCGCGCGAAAGGATGTGCCGAGGAAGGAGAGATGGAGCGGTCTGGCAACTTTATCTTTGCTCAAGATGGGTGTGACCGCTCCAGCTGTTGTTCGAACAACATGAGCAACTGGAGCTTTCAGATGTTTTTCATGGGGCCCCTTGCTCAAGATGTTCATGTTTTTTTTTTTTTCTTTCAAGGTGTGGGTCAATATTAAGCCACCAGAGGACCGCAGATGTTAGTCTATGTTTACAGTTCCCAGGGCTCCATTTGGGTACTTATTTTTCACCCGCAGCCAGATGTTCATGTTCGACTTCGTTTTCAAGGGCCAAAGAGCAAGGCCTTTTGCTCATTGCGATGCCCTCGCCAAAGGCCAATGGAAGAAGCTCGTGGGCTTTTGGCTCCACAGATCCCATCTTTTTGGAAGCGCAGGGGTTTCTCCCGTGTTTCATCTCCGAAGTCGGTTCTTCTTTTGCTCCTTCAGCGGAAAGCAGCACTGAGTTCCGCTGCCAATTGACCGAGGACTGCGAAAAGGAGTACATCCCCCTAAGATGAGATTCCTGGAGCTTTGGTTTTGGGGGCGGGACACCCCTGATGAACAAAAATGAGACGCCCACAAAATACGAACTTTCCCGCAACGAAAAGAACACCGTCTGCAACATAAGGCGTGTCGATCCAACGTGGGTTTGCCTTTCGGTTTTTCTTCACGGGGTGGCAGATTTTGAGACATGCCTAAGTGGACCCTGGAACAATCCTCATTCCCAACGGCTCTCTGCTCTTGATCGTCTCGAACCCAAGCCCAGAACATTCGCGCCGCGTTGCTTTTAAAGCTCAAGTGGGTCTTGAAAGATTAGGGCCGTGACACCTTTCCGAGGTCAAGCTTGAACTTGGAAGGTTGTTGCAACCGGACCGGTGCCACATGGTGGTGAAGAGCCGCTTGCCGCCTTTCCTTTTGGACATGCTAAGGAAAATCCGAATCTTGATAGCGAGTGGCCTTCAGTTCACCTGGGCGAAATTTGAAACAACCAGACCCCTGTTCTTGAAGGGCAACCAAAAGGATGTTGCTCGGAATTCGGACAATTTCGTGAGCGGTCAATTCGTAGTCGAAGGGATGACATGGAGTACACTCGACAAAATATCAGCTCGTGGGAGTTACTCACCAAACTCCAATGTCATTGGGGGAAACAACCAACTTGCAAACTTGGCTGTGGCTCCCATCAGATCGGTCCAAAACGCAGGCTCCTGCCCAACATCATCATCCAGCCGAATGTGCTGCAGCCATCCACCAAGTACAAGCCCGGGACCACGGAACAATGGACATGTGCTGGGCTCAACAGATTTGTTTGCCGAGTCAAACAACTGATTGGTTGTCTTGAGTGCTCTTTGGTGTGACCTTATGACCAGTGTCGGTTTGAAGCGGCTCAGCAAAAATGAAACTCTTTGGGGGTTAAAGACCAACGAAAACTACCAAGCTGGTCAAAGGCAGCGCACGAGATCCTTTGGGAAAGAAGTGTCGGGCTTGCGTCAGGATTCTGGATTAGGATTGGCCCGGTCGGAGACTTCATTGCTGAGCGGTTGACCTGTACTCTCAAAGTTCTTGGTAGTCTATAGTTGCTTTGGGCAGCCCAAAGAAAAGTATGTCCTTTGCTCAGCCAATGTCAATGCTGACCTGTTTGATTTCCAAGCTTTCAATGTTCTGTAAATACATATCTCATCAATAATGCCGGGCCCAAAAGTTGAAGCCCTGGCCACTCATTTGAGCCGGTCAGGTTTGACCAAATGGTGACCTTTGTGGAATCCTCATTTCAAGGGCGGCACTTTGTGTTTTCCAGTCCAGCGAAGACACCCAAACCAACCTCCATTTGTGATTGAGAAGGGTATTGCTTCGTTGGACGGATGTTGTTTTTCTCCTTTGGTACCGCGTTGTTTCCCAAAAGGCACAGACAGTCGTGCATGGTCGAAGCGACCCCGACCACTTCCAGTGAGGTTTGTAAGCAAAAAGCACCTACCTTGGAAGACAGTGCCAACGCCGGATCACTCAACCTTGTGGAGCAATCGCGGGCAAGGGTCCCCAAAACTGATTTGGATTCCCTCTAAAATTCAGCATTCTAGCCAGACCTCAAGTAGAACGCCGGTGAGTCTGCGGGTAAAGGCAGCCTGTGGAGTAATTAGTGCCGCTGTATGAGCCTTTGGTATGAAACCCTGCGATTTGAGTCTGGGAAACGAAGCACAAGGGCCTAGTACTTTTGTGAAGTGAAGTAACTTGGCTTGAGCTGGGGGAGGGGGGTCAACATCGGTCAGCATTGCTCCACGAGTTTCCTGTTACTGGGTCCATGCAGTCTGAGGCCTTGGATTTGGGGTGCTATATTAGTAAAGTTTTTTTTTTTCTCGGCTGGGGATGTTTTTTCTGAGTCCCCTGGAAAGCCCACGTGAAACCCACCTCAAACCACCCTAAAGCGACCCCAACGCACCTTAACCCACCCTAAACCCACCCAAACCCACCTCAATTAAACCCACTCTGAAACGGACGGGACAACTAATCCACCTTTGAAAAAAACAAATCTTACCGACAAATGGATGGCCTTTGATTGCGAGCGGTTCAAGTTGGGTTGGAGGGCCCTTTTCCTCGGACGCTGCGTGGCTCTTTTTGAGGGAACCCTCCGGTCTGGATCCTTCGAGACCTGTTCCTCGCGTCAGTGGAGTCTCGGAAGGATTGCAAGCCAACCGCTGGCACGAAGACCAGCATCCTCACGATCCCAGCCAGTCCCTCCGTGTTCATCCTTTTTTTGGTCAAGCCCGCCCTGTTGGGATGGGTGCCCTTTTGGGGTGTCACCACAAACTGTGGTAAATTGCAGGTTTTCCATTGTTCTTTGCTTGCGATGTTTAAGGAAATAAAGATTCCGTGGGGTGCTTTTGCACCAAGATTAGCGACCTCTTCGACTGGTCTTTGGTTTGCGACTTCTGGCCCCATATGGGGTTAAGGGTGTTTCTCAGAAGAAGGTCCTGTATGGTTTTTTGGGTCCTTGGGTTTCCCGATCCAAAACCTGAGCAATAGAAACGCCACCATTCTGAGAAACTCCCGTATCTGCGGCACAGGTTGCGCCTGAACATCCATTTGACCTTCGCCCGGGCGCCAAACATCTCCCGGAAGTTGGGGTACAGAGCCCCAACGCTGGCAAGAATTGAACATCATCTCGCCGGGACTCCCTCGTTGACTCCGCAGTCTTTTCAAACATCATGTGTTTTCCGGTTTCGTTTCCCCATAGTTTGGACGACTTTCCGGAAAGAAGAGCGCCTGGAAATGGACGGAAGTTACCCCTCCAAAGTTTCGGGTGAACGAGTTCCAGCTTGAAGGACATGGTGCGTGAGGCATCCGAGAACCAGTTTGTTAGAACCCGCGTGGGGCTCAAAGTTGACTTCGCGCGGGGAAGGCTACCGACATTTTCCTCGCAGATGGCTTGCTGTGTGGTTCGGACAAGAACCTCACCGTCCAGTTTCTTGGTAGGTGTGAAGCCTCAAGGACACAGACAAACATCAGGTTTTCTGAAAGGCATGCTCGAGGATTTTGACGTGTGAAGGTTCCTGGTCCAGTTTGGTGTCCGGCTTCGAACGGTTTGCTTGCGCTTCCGGGCCCATTGAGGGAAAACAAACAAGGACTCGAGTTGGCGACCTCATGGTTCCTTTCACAGAGATTCCAGATGTATGGTCGGTGCATGATGTTCATCCCACAAGGTTTACGCCAAGGATGCACATTCTTGGGGTTCTTGAGGGCACATTCTGCTGTTGGGGTTGTACCGTCCCAAACTGCAATGGGGAAATGCTTGGGTGGGAAGAACATGCCCCCTGTTGAAGCCTCGGCCCCTACTTTCCCGAAGGCAAAGAAGACAGCTGACCCAGCTCCTCAGTAGCAGTTGTGTTCTTCCCTTTATTTCGGTGGCCAGCCCTGGGGCCGTTTTCCCATAGAAAACTGCCCAATTATAGCAAGCTCAGGCAGCCATGATGGTTTGGGAGGGTTTCGGCTCGGCTTGCACGTAGCGGCAAACTGTCGAGGTGCCATGACACCGTGACACCGCGCTCTGAGAACACTTCAATATGCCCCCACAAGACTCTAGGTCAATACGTTTGCAGATCCGCTTTGGTCACTGTGCCATGGCAGTGCTATGACCTGGGGGCCATGATTGGTGATGAGAATGTTTGCACCATTGAGTCGGGCAAGCCGCCATTGATCATGATGGGCAAGTTGCGATTGCTTGTAGGATGCATGGAACTACTCTGATTAATCAGTTGGGCCAGGCCATTGTCGGTATTTTCTCCCCTGCATAGGAATCCGAGACTCACAAGTTCTTGTGTTATCTGGTCCTCAGCTTCTAGCCAATACTTGGGCAAGCAGCTCTGCTTGTGGTGGTTTTTTGCCAGCATCCTGTAAGCTGCTCGACCAGCAAGTCGTGCAAGCGCAATGAGCGCAAAGATAAGCTTGCTAGTTCAAGCCTTGCACGCCACGCAACAAGCTCTTAGCACCTGCACTGAGCCCTGCCTCAAACAGAGCACCTTGTGCCGTCCTGGGTGATCTTCCTCTTGCTTTGCTATGCCGCAGCCACACTGCGAATCGGTTCGAATGCCCCAGTTTAAGGCGTGGCCGAGCTTGGGGCTCTCCCAAGGATTGGTCACACTGCAAAAGCACGGCTCAGAAGCCCGTGTAGAAGGTTCGTTTCTTTTGGCCCTTAAACCTTCTAAGGATGCCTTAAGGATGCCTTAAGGGTCGGAACTAAATTCCAAGAACAGGGAGGCTTCCCAAGCTGTCGCCGATCTCAGGCCACCCCCGCGGCCCGCCGTATGTCAGGCCCGGCCCGCAGGGAAGAGTGGTCGACACGGATAGCGCAAGCGGGCCCCTCTTTTTCGCGACGACGGTCAGCGGCCCCTAAAGAAAGGCACTCAAAACCGCGGTGTCCCCAAAGTTTGGGGAGTAGCACTCTCTCAACACCCGTCCCCAAAAAGTTTGGGGGATTTTCTCCGCTTTTTTGAGCCAAGCCGAAAGGGCGTTGTTCGCGCCTCCAAATTCCACGCCACGGACTGGTGCCCACAGGACTTTTGAATTGGAACACAGCCTCGATGTTGGTTTTCCGGTTGGTATGGTTGGTTTCATTTGGCAAACCAAGCAAAAGGGGGCTTTCCAAGACATCCCAGAACAAAGACACGCTTTCTTTGGGTAAGCCAAGAAGAAGCGAAGCGATCGATTTCAACCTCCTTTGGGGGTTGGGATCCGACAGCACGAGTTTCCACGGACCCGCTGGAGCAACATGATACTGTGAATGGTTGCGAAATCCATTTCGCACCACCTAAAAAACCACGGTTGGAACCGTTGTTTGCTTGGTATTTACAAGGGAATAAATCCAGGGTTTCTTAGGTGGTGCGAAATGGATGTCGCAACCATCCACAGTAGCATGCCATTTACACAAGTCGACAAGTGAACGCAGCCGAGGCGAAGTAATTCTTTGGCCATGGCCAGTTTTCAGAAGCCCGCTTCAGTCGACGACGCTGTCCATTTTTTGAATACTCCCCGTGGAGGGGAATCCATTTTCAATACCCTTCCAGTAGTCCAGGCGGATTGACCTTGAGGGCTATCGTTGTTGTAAACGGTGTTTCCAGAATAGGGGGACCCAGTTAGGTCGGTCTTGAAATGGACGCCAGGAAGCCAAAATGCGACCATGAACCGTCCCAAGGATAAAGGAGAGGGTATCTATCCAGCCTGCTGGCAAAGTCGGATTTTGGGGACACCCTCGGGGTTCATATTTGCATCTTAGCTTAAGGAAATGCGTGTGTCAAACATCATTCAGGGGTCATTATTTTGCCGGTTTCTGGGGTTATCAAAGTCAGAAATGGGGATTGTTTCCCTTTAACCCACCACTTAGGGGGTGACTTTGACCATGGTCAAATAATGAGGCCAGTCATTGAGACAGAGTTGCGCACCGAAGGCTTGGGGAGTAGAAGGACTTGAGGGATGGGCCCTTTGCTCGTGATCTGTTTGTTTGCTCCCCTAGACATCCCTTAGGGAAGCGACGGCTGACAGGTAGCAGAAGGGTTTGTAACTCTGGCCTCGTACGCCTGTATATTAGCGATCACCTGCTCGGCCATGCGAGCAGGTTTCTCTTGGGACTTGCCAGCTTGATAACGGGTTGCATGGATTCAACCGACTCAAAGAAGTGTTGCTCAAGACCTCGTAGCAAGGCCCAAACCGCAACTGGGTCTTGTGGTTAAAGGGAGCCAGGCTGCGGTGGTCCCGTCAAACGGCGGAGGGTTGCGTTGAACCATGGGTCTGGTTCTTTTCCTTTTCCAGGGACCAACTTTCTGCCCTTGTGACGCTGGTCCTCCCCCTGAAACCCAGCCCCTCAAACCGCTTCGAGTTTGGCCGCCAGGGCGGTCGCTCCAGGCGCAATTGGGGGGATTGGGTGGCACAAAGGTGGGGGGGGGGGTCGGGTGCTTTGACGTTCAAGCTATGGGCAAGTAGGTTGTAACCGCGTCTGTCAAGTGAGCCATAAATATGGCCATGGGTCATAACCTATGCCTCCATTTTGGGGCGGATGAACACTCATGTACCACCTATTTTGACACCAGGGGTACAGTGTTTTGACCCACAGCAATATAACTATTTCTTCATCATCCCAACTGGGTGGAACGTCCAAGTAGGTCGCCCATCCAAGTAGGTCGAGTTGGAAATGATATTTCCAACATCCGCAGAGCAGGGATTGTGCATCCAGCGGGCCCTGTTGTGTATATTCCCCATTCTTGCCCCTGGTAGGTAAAAGGAACTGGCGTACTTTCCGGGCGCAGACGCTCAGAAGTGATGTACTTGAACACAAGATGAAGTTATGATCATCGCTACATGCAAATACTTTGCTTGGCTCCTTGCATACAAAAGCGGATCAAGATGATTTGCCTCCTGAGAAAGGGAGAGGGGACAAGCACTTCGCCAATGGATGGCCATTGTACTGCAAACAAACTCGCACACATGTGACACACCTGGGCTTCCACAGCCAGTCAGGGCTCGAATCTTGGCGATGAGAAAAGAAGCCGGGCGCTCGCCTGAGCCTTTTCTTGGATCAAGACCTAGGTGCCCTTTCTCACCATTTTTTTTTTTTTGGGAGGGTTCCCCTACTAAAATAGAGTACAGAAAGAAGTTGGTACCAACTTACTCTAACCTCTCTACTGGAGGACCTAGATACCTTCCAAAGGCTCCAACTTGTTTTGTGCAGCCCCCCAACCCCCATCAGCCCGGCTCCGGCGGATCTTCCAAATATTGCAAGTCGCGGAACACGGTGATGTGGTTTGTTTGCCTGCAATGCCTGCAGAATCCACTGCAGATCTAGCTGCTGTTGCTTCAAAATAGATTTGCCGTTCGACCCCCAGCTAGGTGCCCTCTCATTTACCCCTTTTTTTGGTTAGGAGGGTTCCCCTACTAAAACAGAGTACAGCAAAAAAGTTGGTACCAACTTACTCTAACCTCTCGCGCAGAGAGTTTCCCCACACTTCTCAAAACATCCCAAGGCAAGGGAGCTCAGTGACTCAGTGGGTGTGAATTGGCCTTTCCAAAAGCTGAGGTTTGATGTTTCCCAAGAAAAGGGCTGATGTGTGGCCCAAGGATTTCCCCCAAGCCCAGGAAGCATGGCTGGAGAAGCCCTCACGGGCTCCAAGAAGGAAGCCAACTTCGGCTGTCTGAAAGGCGTCTAGCGTCTGCCACGGTCCGGAAGATTGACAAAGTAGCTCCACGGAAGCCGATGTGTTCGAGGGAGTTCCGCTCATCTTTTTGGAGCTGCTCTGAACTGCCACCCAATTGAAGCCAATTGGCCGCCCCCAGTCCGAGCGAGGCCAGTGATGCTGGGGATGCTGGGGATGCTGGGGATGCTGGGGATGCTGGGGATGCTGGGGATGCTGGGGATGCGGCTCAACCTGGCCAACTAGGCCCCTGCCTGTTGCCCACAACCTGAGAGCGAAGCAAGGGTTCCCAGCCAACCTCTTCAGAGCCACATGGGGAAGGCCTTGTGCTGAGCCGGGGCTAGTAAAAAGCCGGGGCTAGTAAAACAAAAAAGCACCTCAACCGAGGTCCGATTCTAGCAGATCTCTCGCCGCGATGATGTCGCATGTCGCAGCGGAAGCTGGTGCTGCGGGCTGGTAATCGCGGGGGGTTGGCACACACATACTGTGGATGGTTGCGAAATACATCTCGCACCACCTAAGAAACCATGGTTGAAACCATTGATTGTTGGTATTTACATTGGAATCATCATTCCAGGGTTCTTAGGTGCTGCGAAATGGATTTCGTCCATCCACAGTACCACTTGTATCAGGGAGCTGGGGACGTGCTCTTACACCTGGTATATCAGCTCCGGGTCACGGCGACAGCATGGCAGGCCACAGATGGGGTGACTCAGGCGGGCGGGAGGGGAACTTCCAGGGCCCGGGTTGCCAGTCCACCGGTTTCGACCATACGTACAGGTTAGGCCGGAAGGTGGGATGGCGACAGTCGATGATGGCAGTTGTAAATAAATACTGCTTGCAAGGGTTTTGTGCTGCACCTGCAGAGAATGGAGGAGAAGTCAATCGTACGATGATATGTTCTATTGTTCTTTGTTTGGCACACACAACGTGCATGCTTGGGATACACACACACACACACACACGCATACGTTGCCAGCTGCACGTCCTTGCGCCCAACCCGATTCTTGTTGCAGACGTGTGGTTTGCGAACTCGCTCATGAAGGTTCTGTGCCTGGGCCCTCATTCTAGTTGGTGAATCGACCATGCAGCCAGCGGTTATGTCAAAAAGCGAAACCGGGCTTGCGGCTTCTATCGACATTTGAGCCATTGAGCTAATCATTTGGTGCCTGGGAAAAAAACAAAACAAAACAAAGCAAAATCCTACGTTTGACCGGGGTGGGATTTACTTGCAATTGGCACATCCGTTCCAAAGAGAGCTTGCAGCGTCCTAAGTCTTTTGGCTTGGTTGGCCCGTTTCGTTCATGTCTGGAAGTCGTGCTGATGGCACCGTCAGCAAATGGAAGTGGGCCAGGAGGGGAGAACCCACTTCGCTTATCAAAATAATGCCGCAGAATGGAGCTGTGAGGTGCTTGACAACCATATTTAGTCATGATAACAGGGGCATACTAGAGGTGATCATTTGGCATATATTAGGTTGAACACCCCAGACAGGTACCCTCTTCATATAGGTGCCCGTCCCGGAACCTAGAGAATGCTGCGTAAGCGACTCGGAAATCATTTCAATGGGGTTGCGGGGTACGTTTCGAATTGCATCATGTTACTGTAAATGCAGAATGTGAGCAACTACCCTCAGAATTCTTACACAACCAACCCCTGTTGTCCCACTTGAAGCCACAGTTGCGACCAACTTGAATTTCGGTCAACATATCCTTAACTGGCGCAAAAACCCTATTGGCGTCTTGTTGGAACCAGAATTAAATTGGTCTTTGGGACCGATACTCAATTGCGGTCCAGTTGGCCGAGGGGGAACTCGCCATGAGCAAAAGATGTTACAACCAAAACAGGGCAGGACACCAGCTGGTGTCTTTTTTGCCGGTACCCATTTTGGTGCGGTTGTGAAGAAACACGAAAGGAGCACCAAAAACCAAGTGTGAGGGTCCAACTTCCCTATCTTGAGACAAACCCATACCGGTATGGGTCAAACTTAAACCACCAGGAACCGCAGGTCTTGGTCTATGTTTCCATTTACCAGGATTCCATTTTGGGTACATATTTTTGACCCACAGCCATATGACGCCCTGGCTGAATTTCCGTTCCGGGAACGAAAGTTCAACGCCCGACGAGGTCACCGGCTTCGCGGACATCGTCATCGAGACCGCTGGGCTGCCGCCTCGCTCCGGGCGCTTGGAGGCGTGAAGCGAGCGAGTCGCGAGAGACGTGGCGTGAAACCCGAAAGGGTTAAAACGTATTTCTCATGTGCGTGGGCTTTACGGACGAGTATTTTGCAGAATTTCTTTTTTGGAGTCTTTGTTTCGGGTCAAGGCCGAAAGAACGTGGCTGGATGTTTTGTGGGAGCCAGGGCTTGTTTTCGAGCGGCTCTGGCTCCTTAAGTTTCCCGGTCGAGTGAGGGGCCTGCAGGCGCCTCACGCGTTTAATTGCTTTCACCTTGGACAGGGTTTGGTGGCTTTTGGCGCCCTTTGTTACATTTGGGGCTTCCAAAGGCCAATAGAATGTGTATCTTTTGTTTCTCATCATCCTGGTTCAGGAAAGTATATCGGGGTTTGCCTTGTGCCCGCTCTTTTGGTGGAACATCAAGCAATCCTTCTAGGAGGATTCCTTTTGCCCAAGCTCGGCCTTAACAAAAGTCGTCCGAGCAGCCAGCTTTTGCAGGGTTGCTCCCTATCGGGTGGGGCTGGGAACAGCTCTGGGGGCGAATGACCAGGCTGAAGGCCGAACTTCTTGCTCGTTCACCCCGCCCAAATGTGGGAATGACCCTCACCCAACCACAATTGGGTTGTGTCAAATGCACCCTATGATTTGACTTGCTGTTGCCGTTTTTGGGCCTGATCTCCCCCCCATTAAATCAGCTGCGCCCACAGAGGCCCCGTGCGAACTTGAGTGAGTGAGTGAGTGTGTCAAATGCTTGGGAGAGGCCCTTGCTGAGCCAGATTCTGGAGCCAGTTGGACCCCTCCCAGTCACCGGTGTTGTTTTGGTTTCTGTGACCACCCAGCAGGCGAAAAGAGTTCGCAGTTTTGACACACTTGGCCTCATGGCGATGCTGCATGAAAGGCCCAGACACGTCGGTTTTTTTTTTGGGGGGGGAAGATTGGGTGTTGGATGTTTGGATCGTTCGTCCCTTGTGGCTTGGACATTTAGAGGCCCTATCCGATACCCTTTGCCCCGCACTGTTAGGCTCAAGTCATGAAAGACCTTTCCAAGCACCGAAATGCAGAGATGAAAGGTGGTGTGAATCCACTCACCTTTGTCATTGGTTGGTGGGTTTCGCATCATGTGTAATTGTTTGTTTGCAAGACAATGTCATATGGTTGGCTCCTCGAACTTGAGATCCCTCTTGGGCGCTCGCTCCCCCCCCAACAGCCCTGTCCGCACCTGGGAAGGGGTTCCGAAAGTTTGGAAAGCTCTTGGTCTCGAAGTTAGCTAAGTTGCCATGTAACTGGAGCAAAAAAGCAGCTCGCCAGGCCATCTAAGCATGAACGGACGCCAAGTGGAATCCAGAAAGGTAATTTCTGGTGTCTCTTCTCTGAACACGGGATCGCACTGACTGCAAACGACGTGAGTCTGTCTCAAAACAGAGACTGAACTACCATGCGTTGGCTTTCACGAAGGAACGCTCACTCGGTTTTCAAAGTTCCGGCGAAACATACACTCGGGTGTTTTCATGTTTGGGAGCTCCCTTACGAGCTCTTCCATTTGTCTATCAACTTTCCAAATTCCATCGTTCCGGGAAACCACCAACAACTCAGACGGCAGGTGTAGCTGATGGTAATGGAACCGTGTTAGTTTGTTCAAATCTTTGGGACCTCCTTGTGGTTGTTCAAGGGAGCCCATCCGTTTTGGAACACCTGCATCGTTGCTTGAAAGAAAAACACAAATCTTCCGCCCATTTCCAGCTGTTGGCTAAGGGACACTCCTGCGGAAACCCGGTTGGTTCGTTCTGGGTCTGCGTTTGTTATTCCTTCCCTTTATACTTGTACCAGGATATCTCATTCGCGTTTGTTTTTGAGAAGCCAGGAGCTGCAACCCTGTGAGCCACGGCCAAACAAAGGTACCCGCAAAAAGCACTCCCATTTTTGAGAACCGAATTGCGCCTGTTGCTTCAGGTTGTTCCGGGGAATCGCAGCATGGACACGCCCGGCCGCTCAAAGCGAGGGAGGACACCACTGCAAGCCTACGGCTTACATCCTCCCACCAACCCGGAAAGGGGTGCCCCCCTTGCATAAATTACTGTCCTTTTGCTACAAGGGCCTAGTTTTTTAGGACGAAGTAGGTGTCTTGAAGGCAACTTAGGGCATCATCATAAGATCATATCGCGCATGCTCCTGTAGCCCTTGTAGTATGATCCCTTGTGTTTTTCGGGTTGGGGGGTTGATGGCAGAACGAACCCCTCCCCAAAAAGAGGCCCTTCGTGAGAGCTGGGGGTCAACATTCCCGGTTGTTCAGTGTATTCAGCCCTTCAAATCCGTTTTTTTGGTGTGCTCCCCACAAAAAGTGGAATCGACCCCAAAAACAACTGGGATGTTTGTAACCCAAGAAGGGTGGTTGTAAGCCAACTACCAGGAAATCAATCTTCCCACACCGCTTCTTTTGATCTTCCATTGTTGTCGGAAGCAGGGTAGTCAAACGGCACCAAACCCAATCAGTCAATCCCTTTTCTGCGGCCATCAACCAGTCCCAACCTGTTGCCAACATTTTGAGACGACCTTTTTTGTTGACGTTTGTCAACTAGGATTAGAGTCAACTCAGCCAATTCAACTCAGCCAATTTAACTCAGTCTATGTAACTCAGCTCCCAGGGTTAGGATTCAGCCACTGCTCTGTTTTTGCGTCTTGTTGGTCGGCCCTTTGCGGAGACCTTCCCCGCCCACACCCCACATCTGCCCGCCCGCCCGAATGCCCGTTTGAGTTTTTTTTTTGTTGTGTCGTTGTGCGCGTGTCCGTGGTTCTGTGTTTGTGTGTTTGTGTTTGTGTGTGTGTGCGTTTGCTTGTACGCCCGTGCGTGCGAGCGTGCGCGCGAGCGTATGTGATTGCGCGCGTGCGTGCGCGCGTGTCTGTGTCTGAATTTGTTGTCTGTGTGTGTCTCTGTTTTTCTGTGAGTCTGTGACTGTGTATGTGTGTGTGTGCCTGTGTGTGTCTGTGTGTGTGTGTGTGTGTGTGTGTGTGTGTGTGTGTGTGTGTGTGTGTGTGTGTGTTTGTTTGTGTTTGTCTGTGCCTGTCTGTGTGCTGTGTTCTGTGTGTCTCTGCGTGTGTGTGTGTGTGCGCGTGTGTGCGGAGTGACAGAATACCCTGTCACCAACTTCAGGCTTTCACTTTTACCGCAGGGGGATGCTGGGGACCTTTGCGGTCGGCATCCAACGAAGACGCCGCACTTGTCCTGTGATATCGAGGCTGATCACCTCGACGTACCTGTGCTTCTCGTGTGATGCAAAGTCCTTTTGGCCCCCTTGGTTGCGGCGCTGTTTGTGCTTCTTGTTCTTTCGGGTAACGTGTTCGCTGCTAGAGGGAAGCCGAGTGCATCGCGAGCAGAACCCACACCCTCTCGAGACTCATCAGTTGTACTCGAGACTCATCAGTTGTACTCGAAAGATTAGCACCCTCCATCTGGAGTTTAAGTGTGTACACCCCATTCGTGGGGAATCCTCGGGTGTACCCATTGTGTGACCCCGGGCCGGCTCTGTCGGAAAATTTGACCTCAACGTGCTTATCATAGAACAGCGGAATTTCAGATTTAATCAGGAACGAGGTTTCACTAAAGGGAAGACAGCCGTCAGATCATAGCTACGTCTCACCCTACGTTCTTTCTTCTCGCCTTCTTCATCCGCGTGCCCGTCTTCCGGTTCTTCGCCCGCTTAGGGATGGCTTCTCCTGACCCGCGCGTTCGTCCCCCTCCTGTTCGCCCGCTTAGGGATGGCCTGGTTGTCCTCGCGTTGTTCACCTTTTTCCTCGTCTTCGTCTTCAAGTCTGTCTTCCTGTTCCTACTCCTCTTCTTCCTCACGTAGTTTGGCTTGACGTCTTCTTCCCCTTCCGTTGCTACTTCGTGTCCGTCCTCTTGGCCCCTGTGTGGGATTCGACGTCTTCCTCCGCGAGCCTTGGTCTTCATCCTCTGTTCCTGTCTGGGCGGGATGCGTCGCCCTAAAAACCCATACTACTACTTCCCTCTTCCTCTTCCTTCTTCCTTCTTCCTTCTTTTCTCCTTTTTGTCTCCTTGCCTTCTGCTTCTTGTTCCTTCTTCCCGGGCGGGATGCGGCGCCCTAAATACGCACCCTGCTCCTTTCTTTTTCCTTTCGGGCGGTTGCGACGCCCTAAATACGCTTTTGTCTCTCTCTCTCTCTCTCTTTCTTTCTCTCTTTCTCTCTTTCGTCCCTTTCTTTTCTTTCCTTTCTTTTTCTTTCCCTCTCTGGGCTATCTCTTGTACTTCCTGTTCGCCCGGTTAGGGATGGCCTGTTCCTCTTCTGCCTCTTTGCCTTCGCGGCCCCTTTCGTCTACAAGGTCTAGGTCGTTTTTGCGCTGTTTGGGGTTGTTGCCCTCGGAGACCCGAAACCTGGCTTCCCCGTTGTTCTTGTTTCTTGTTTGGGGTTTTGCCCGCGGTGACCCAACCTGGGGCCTTTCTGTTTCTTTTGGGCTCCCTTGCTCCGTTTGTTTTCTGTTGGGGTCTTCGCCCGGTTTTGGGGCGCGTGTTTTTTCTCCCCCCGAAAAAGTGGTACTCGCCCCTCTTTGAGGGGCGTGTGTGTGCGGAGTGACAGAATACCCTGTCACCAACTTCAGGCTTTCACTTTTACCGCAGGGGGATGCTGGGGACCTGTGCGGTCGGCATCCAACGAAGACGCCGCACTTGTCCTGTGATATCGAGGCTGATCACCTCGACGTACCTGTGCTTTTCGTGTGATGCAAAGTCCTTTTGGCCCCCTTGGTTGCGGCGCTGTTTGTGCTTCTTGTTCTTTCGGGTAACGTGTTCGCTGCTAGAGGGAAGCCGAGTGCATCGCGAGCAGAACCCACACCCACTCGAGACTCATCAGTTGTACTCGAGACTCATCAGTTGTACTCGAAAGATTAGCACCCTCCATCTGGAGTTTAAGTGTGTGTGTGTGTGTGACTGACTGGGTGCTCCTGGGTGTGCCTGCGTGTGACTGGGCGTGCCTGAGTGTGCGTGCCTGAGTGTGCGTGTGCGTGTGCGTGTGTGTGTGTGTGTGTGTGCGTTCGCATGTGCCTGTGCCTGTGCCTGTGCCTGTGCGTGTGCGTGTGCGTGTGCGTGTCCGTGTCCGTGTGCGTGTGTGCGTGTGCGTGTGCGTGTGCGTGTGCGTGTGCGTGTGTGTGTGTGTGTGTGTGTGTGTGTGTGTGTGTGTGTGTGTGTGTGTGTGTGTGTGTGTGTGTGTGTGTGTGTGTGTGTGTGTGTGTGGTGTGTGGTGTCTGTGTGTGTGTGTGTGTGTGTGTGTGTGTGCGTGTGTGTGTGTGTGTGTGTGTGTGTGTGTGTGTGCGTGCGTGCGTGCGTGCGTGCGTGTGTGCGTGCGTGCTGCGTGTGCGTGCCTGCGTGCGTGCGTGCGTGGGTGGGTGGGTGGGTGGGTGGGTGTGTGTGTGTGTGTGTGTTTGTGTGTGGGTTTGTGTGTGTTGTGGTGTTTGTGTGTGTGTGTGTGTGTGTGTGTGTGTGTGTGTGTGCGTGTTGTGGTGTGTGTGTGGTGTGTGTGTGTGTGTGTGGGTTGTGTGTGTGTGTGTGTGTGTGGTGTGTTTGTGTTGGTGTGTGTGTGGTGTGTGTGCGTGTGCGTGTGTGTGTGCGTGTGCGTGTGCGTGGCGTGTGCGTGTGCGCGTGTGCGTGTGCGCGTGTGCGGTCTGGGTGTGTGTGTGCGTGCGTGTGCGTGTGTGCGTGTGCGTGTGTGTGCGTGCTGTCTGTGTGTGTGTGTGTGTGTGTGTGTGTGTGTGTGTGTGTGTGTGTGTGTGTGTGTGTGTGTGTGTGTGTGTGTGTGTGTGTGTGTGTGTGTCTGTGTGTGTGTGTGTGTGTGTGTGTGTGTGTGTGTGTGTGTGTGTGTGTGTGTGTGTGTGTGTGTGTGTGTGTGTGTGTGTGTGTGTGTGTGTGTGTGTGTGTGTGTGTGTGTGTGTGTGTGTGTGCGTGTGTTCGCGTGTGTGCGCCCGTGTGTGTGTGTGTGTGGGTGGGCGTGCGTGTGTGTGTGTGTGTGTGTTTGATTTGTTTAGTTGCGGTGGGGCATGTACCATATTTTGTATTTGAGCATCGGACGTGCTACCACCTCCTGTAGCGTTGAGCCGGCTGGCCGCGAGCCTTTGAAAAATGACTCGCCCCGGATTAGTTGGGGTGTTCCCTCCAAAAGTGATGAACCCCACTAAAGAGGCCCCCTCCGCTCTTCAACCAGGAGCCAAGCTGTCCCGAGATTCTCCCACTAAACAGCTGGAGCTATTCGTCATATTACTCCCCAGGGTTCCCTCACTGAACAACAGCTGGTTCCCACTAAAGAACATAAAAGCTTGTTTGACCAACGAACCTTAGAAACACCCGCCCATTCCTCAACGAGCCATTAGTCCCAGATTTCCCGCTAAATAGTTCAACAAGAGCTCGTTCGACCACTCGAACCCAGTCCATCGGATCCGGAGGCCCCGGACCCTGAGTGCGCCGGACTGGGTGGCCACAGATCTGCCGCTGACCTACTCCTTCGGCCGGGGAGCCCCAGACCTCTGTGTTTTTGTGTTTGTTTTGGGACCCTTTCCAGGTGGTTCAAAGGGAAGATTCAAAGAAACTGGAGGGAAGGAGAAAAAAACACGACCTTTAAAGGTGGGCCGATGCAAGGCCATGGTTTGTTGGGCTTTGGGTGGATCTCTGGGGTGTCAACCGACAGGAGTGGTGGAATCGGCGACACCCGGCGTTTGTGACGGGCCACCTGGGAAGTTCATTAAACAAAGCCGATGGACAACACCCACTTCGGGCCAGTTGGTCTGCCCCAGCAGAAGGGTGACATTCCTGCCAACTGGTGCAGCTGGTGAGGTTTGATGCAGAGTGGCCCTTCCATTTGCGTGTTTGTTTTGTTGGTGCTACGGTGCTAAGCCTTCTTGGGTTCCATTTGAATTGGGGTTGCCTAAAACAGTGATTCGGGGGAAGGGTCAAGTCGGAAGCGTGGATAGACTCTGCACAATCCGCAGTCCTGCCCTCCTGAGAAAGGTTCCCAGAACCCTTCTAAGAGCCACGGGGAAGGTTCCAACAACCCTTTCCTGGGGGGTGGGGTTGGGGGGGTGTTTGGTTTCCAAGAGAAAGTGTGTGTGTGTGTGTGTGAGCTTTGGCCGCCTTTCTAGAATGATTTCGTGCAACGTTTGCTCTTTCGACTTTTCACCTTTTGACTTGGATGCTGCCCGACTAGGCAAACAATGTGCTTGCTTGCCACCGGTAGCTGGATTCTCCGGTTGCAATCCTTCCTTGCAGAATAGCGGGGCCCCTTTTGGGTGGTGTGCAGAGGGAAGCAGAAGGAAGGCAAGGAACACATATTCACGCGATGAATATTGAGTGCAGTGAAACCATCAGAGATGCTTTGTTTCTCGCCAGACAGCCATCCCCTTAACTTTTAGCTTTTTTAGTGTTTAGTTGAGTTTTTCATTTAGCCCACTACAAGTTAAACTTTTAGCGGGGGATCTGAGGACGGCACGGCTCAGATATGTAAGCGCAAGTTCAAGGCGAGTGCGGAAGAACGTTTCTCCCCCAGAAGCCCTCAGGTTCGTTTGGATCGGCAGCTGTGATCCCAAAAACGAGCTGAAACTTCAATCTTTCCCACCCGAGCACCCAAGACTCCCACAGTACCCAAGACAAGGACGGCCTTCAATCGGGCGCAAGCCGTGCAGCCTTAGACTTTGTCCCCTACATTTCGCCAACAGGGCGGGTTTGAGCGCCACCCTTTGATTGCCAACTGCTGCCACTTTGGTGTCTTGTAGGTTGAGCATCTTGGGGTTTGGGGTTTCAAAGGCAACCAAAAGGAACTTGCCGGGAACCCTTTCCCGAGGACTGACGTGCTTGGCGTAGGCCTGGGGATTCCTGCAGGCAGCAGAATCAGAACCCAAGGTGTGGCAGAAAGCAGCCGCGCCTTGCAAATCCCAACCACCTCCAACTACCCCACAGCCACCCCCATCCCCTACCCCCCCGCCCTCCCCTAACCCCCCCCCCCCCGCCCCTTCCCCCAAACTTCCAGTTTTTTGCTTTGCACCCTGTAGAATGCCCAAGGTGCAAGACCAAGACCCTTCCACCAGCACCCAGCCAGAAAATTCGTTGAAATCACCAAACCGGGGCTCCAAAACCGCCGGGGGTGGCTCGGAGCTGTGGCCGTAGCCTCGTCCCGAGGCTACATCAAGTTCGTGGACGGCAACCCCCTGGATGCCGCCTTCAACACGGACCCCCAGCAGGTCAGCTCCAAGGAGCTACACGTCTTGAGCCACCGTTTTTTAGACGAAGCTGGGACTCACTCCACCAATTTTTGGACACCTAGAGTCTATTTTGCAACCATACCCCAAAACCAATACCCTAACAGAAGGAGGTTGCAAAATAGACCCTAAGTGTCCACCGTACGGGGGGGGGGCATTCTCCCAACACCCCAAACCCCTGCTGGTCCTTCCGACGGAACACCCTTTGACGGGGTCCAAAACCGGTGGACCGGTGCCCTGACGAGGAGCTCTCGCGGCTGGCCATGGGCCCTCCAAGCCCGGAGCCCCTGACGGTCCTTGGGAAGTGGGGGGAGTCGTGTTGTTTTTTCTTCTTCTTTTTTTTCTCATTTTTCTTCTTCTTCTTCCGCACATGTGGGGGTGGGGAGCAAAAGACAGAAAAATCATGGCCTCCCAAAAATCTGGGGAGCGTTTTGGGGATTCATTTCTTTTTCCGCAGATGATGGAATGTGTTTCCCGTTCAAGATTCTGAGTGCAAATGCCAAAGCTGGTGTAAACGGATGCGCTTCCCTTGAAGTTTCAACTTGAGGCATCCAAAAATGATTGACTTCGCATGAAGCATCTGAAAGTTCGGCCACATGAAAGTTCGGTTCCTTTGTTTCGGCGAGCCAAGGGGAGTCCAAGCACATTTTTGGAGTTCCGTTAAAAGGCACACCTTCCCCCCCCCCAAAGGGGCCAAAGGGGTGGTCTCACTTCCCCGGTTCGTGGACCGGACGCCGTAGGCTTTTTGGGACATCATTTTAGTGGCAAGCAAACAGTCTGGACTTTGACAATCGACTCAGCAAGCGAGCCCTTGGGAGTTAGGGGCTCGTTCTCTGGGAATGAGAAAACCGTTACCCATCGTGAATATAGGTGTGGCTCAAAATTAAGCAACTGGGGTTACACAGGTTTTAGTCTTGCTTCCATATACCAAGGCCAGCTTTTGAGCCACAGCCATATGTTCATCGGGAAGGCCAATCGAAGGATGGCGCATGCTCGTGGGCTAGATGTATGGGGAACACTCCGTGAGGGCACCCCCCAAAAAAGAACAACAACGGGCTCCAGTTTTGCTGTGGCTCTCTTTAAGCCCAACACGAAAAAGGCGACAGAAACCAAAACCCTATGAAGGGTTGGGCGAACCTGCAACATGTCATAAGCCATGGACCTCATGGATGAAGCATTCTCAAGGTTTCCCGTTAGGGTGATGATGGTTCATTGGCTAAGATGCTATGCGTTATAGCTCAGTAGCTTAGTTTTACCAACGGGCCCAAGATGGCGATGGGAACATGCCTTGCAGGCAACAATCACACGCTGTACCTCTTCGTGGAGGTCTTCACACCCTATGGGGCCGTCTGCAGACCTAGAGTAAAGTGGTGTTGGGCTAGATGGTGCAAGCGCCTCACACACGCAGAGATGTACTGAGGCTAAGTTTCAGATGCATAGTCCTAGACAGCTTGAGACGGGGACCATGATCCCTTTGCAGCAAAGAAAGAAACGGATCTCGCTTCTATAGAGGGAGTCTACACTTAGAGAGGGCCACATGTTCAGCCAAACGCACCCGGTCAGGTACATCGGTTAACCCTCACCTCGTTTCTCAAGTGGAGCGCAAACATTGGGCACGTTCCCCTTCGTTCCGTTTGGTCGGCTTGAGTTGCTGGTATACCGTTCGAAAGGAAACCAATCCAAACTGAAGGCCGAGCATGTGGCAGGTCAAGGTTGAAGGGCATCAACCTTTGCTGGGTGCTAAACAAAATGGTCCGAGGTTTCTCACCAGGCAACTCAAACCTCATGGCCTTTGAGGCGTCTTGGGAAACTTTGTTCTATTTTTCCTATTGGGCAACTCCCAACAGTGCAACTGTGGTATTTTTTCTGAGACCTGGTTAAGAGAAATCGGAACGCAGGGCCGAGTCTTTGTTCCAGGTTTGTGCTTGGAAACAACCACGGCCCATTGCCATGCAACAGGTGGTTGATGCTTCTGCACACTTGTTCAAAGCGGGAGTTTCCCATGTTTTTTTGCAGCAGGGCAAAACTCGGGGGGGCAAGAGCAACAGTGGTGCATCTTCTGGAGATTTCTAGATGCCACCGTGTACTCTCAGCAAGTTCACAATCCACTTCTCGTTCTTCTCAGGGCGGTTTTCTGGCTCCATGTGGCAAGGCTATGAAGTTTCGTAGGGCTCATCCTGAACAATGTTTGGACACAAATCTCAAACCTAAATGATGTCCACCAAAGGGTCAAAGTCAAAATTCACATGGGTCTGGGCCAAACTGAAGCCACCAGAAAAAAAGAGAGAAACAAAACGCAGGTTTTCGTCCATGTGTCCATCTACCAGGGCAACCCTTGGGGTTTCGGGCCCTATTCTTGGCCCCACAGCCATCTGCACAACGCACCGCCGGTCTGAGAAAAGCCGCGCGGAAGTGGCGATCCAAAGCTGGGGGCCCTGGGGGCCTCGGTTTACGGTTGCTGCTGGGTGCTGGGTGGGGTGGGTAACCCCAAAATTGTGTTGGGTTCGAAACCAAGACGGGCCAAGCCCCGGGTTAAATCTTTGTCTTGGGGTTTTCCCCCCATAACCCCAAAATGGTGGGTGTTGGACAATATCCTTGTTTTCTAGGGTTGTTGGTTTCCTTTTCCCAAATATGTGTGGTCGCAAGACTTGTTTTTTGACTTCTGGACCAACCGACACGATTGCTGCCAATCTTGGTTTGGGTTGACAAAGCGGGGGGGGGGGGCTAAAATTCCCACAAGAATCTGCGGCCCACCCAAGATGTCCATGTGCTCGTGGGCAAGCAAGTGCCTAGTTTTGTGGTTTTGGCCTTGGCTCGCATGCGCAGTGATCAAAGCATCCCTGTGCTTGGAGTTGGTAGGGATGGTCATGGATTTTTTGGTAGGGATGTTAGACCACCAAAAAAACGGCTCTTGCTAAGGGAACCGTGACCAGGAGCGACATGAGTTGCTCTGGGGATTCTTTCATCCTTGGCGTGACTCCCCTTTCGGGGGGGCCCAATGGTGTATGAATTATATAGTGCGTCGATTTTGCCCCATTTGGTTCATCATGTGTGTGTGTGTGTGTGTGTGTGTGTGTGTGTGTGTGTGTGTGTGTGTGTGTGCGTGTGTTGTGTTAAGGTAGAAGTCCAACCTGCAAAAAGAAGCAAACAAAGCTAGAATAAAACGAAGACACTTAGAAGAAAGCAAGGACAACAAGAGGAAGACAAGAAAGCAACAAGAGGAAGACAAGGAATAAGGAAGAAGCACAGGACGACAAGGAAGAACCAAGCTGAGGGTTTGGAAGTTCCTTTCGCTTCTCCTTTGGGAGGGACTTTGGAGCAACCCTCGGGGAGAGGGGGGGATCTGTTACACCAACGGAATCGGGGGGACGAGGTGGCCAGCTTTGAACATGTCGAATTGCCCCTGCCGCCCCCCTCCCCCCCAAAACAACAACAACAGCAACGTAGAAACGCGCTTAGGCCCAGAAATGTCAGTGGTCTCTTTTCTTCTTAAGGGAGGTTTTTTTCTCTTTCCTTAAGAAGGGCGCCTTTCTTTTTTAGTTTCCCGTGAGAATCGGCTAGGGGTCGATCTCCAAAGAGGTGGCGGTCCCCAGCTCAAAGGAAGGCTCTGGGAGGAAACGACGAGGCGGAAAGGGCATGCTCAAAGGACAAGACGCCCAACTGGGTGTCCCCCCCTTTTTGTTTTTCTCCTTTTTCTCCTTTTTTTTTAATATTTTAGTAGAGTTTATGTTTTGTTTGGGGGTGGGTTTTGAATGGACACCCCCAAAAAAGGAAAACGGGGGCGGTTTTGAATGGAAGCTTTTCGGAAAAGCACCAAGCCTCCGGAGGTTGGGGTGGCCGGGTTTCCCATCGAAACGCGTTGAGGTCTTCCAGTGGAGAACCTCACCCAGGCCTCGCTGGATGGCCGGGGAGCCCCGGCTCGTGGATCGGTTTGGGTCGTTGCCAAGGGGAGCCATGATATGGCTGTGGTTGTCAAAACCGTTTTGGGATCCCATTTTGGTTGGTAGGTGCACCACCCGCCACCCGTTTTAGAACCTATTTCAGTGGGGATTGGGATGTTCACTGGGGGCACGATTTGGATTTTGACCCATGGCCATATTGGTGGAGACAGGGTCCAACTTCAAGCTGGGGAACCCGGGAGCCTTGACTTGAACAAACAGCTCCCATGCCATGCATGGGCACCTCCTCAAACTGGGGAACCCAGTAGAGAGTCTTAGAGCCCTGACGCGAACAGAGAACTTTGTACGGCATGGTACCGATGCTCCACATGTCGGGAACTTGACCAGTGTAATCCAACTTGCCCAGACGCAGCCCTAAGCTGCCGAGCTGATTTGTTTGGTGGGGGTTGTCAAAACAAGGACTTTCTATTGATTTGTTTGGGTCCCCTTTGCGACACACCCATTGCCGTGTGTTTCCCTTTCGGCTGACTTTTTCTCTTGCTGGTGAGGTTTTTTAGGGACTGTGGGAATGAACGCAGGGGTCAGCTTGAAGGAAACCACACGGGTTTGTAAGGTAAGGGTCATTCCCTCCTTCCCTGCCTATTCCCTAGCACCGGCACCAGCAAGAATTGATTTGACAGTTGATTTCGGAGGTTTAGAAGGGTTATTCCCTCCTTGATTGCCCGTCGCAGCAGCAAGAAGAGCGCCCTGCTGGGCATGTTGAAGATCCATTTGGTTTGATTGCATTTTTGGGTTCCCCTTTGACACACCCGTGTGTTTCCCTTTCGCCTGACTTTTGATTTGACAAAAAACAATCCCCCGATTACTTCTTGACTGCTATTGGGTTGGATCTTTAGACTTCAACCTTTTGGGAAATCGTGGGGTTTTCCACGACCCCCCAAAAAGTGAACAATTTTCTGCAGGCCGTTGCAGCCACCAAGACTTGACCTGTTTTTCTTCTTCTTTTTCGGACACTCCGACCCCATGTTTTTTGAGACTTCAGGCCTGGAAGCAGCTCAGAACTCAGATGCCTCCAGCCCTGCGCCCCAGCATCGGCCTTCGATCCTTCGATCAGATTCTCACCAACTTTGGGGGTTTCCCCTCTGGGTTTAAAGACCCCACTGCCCATGGAAGCCCGAACTCCGGCCCGGCAGACCGGGCTTTGGCGCCCTGTGAGTGGGGATAAGCACCGAGAACTGGGCAAACCCTTACCAACTTGTTTGGTGCATTGACCGTTTGGACGATGTCTTGCTGTTCTTTTTTGTTTTGCCAGGGTTCTGGGATCTGTATGAAACGCCTGACTTCACCTATCCCCAAAAGGCTACTGATGAAGCTGCTGTTTTCTGGGATCATGTTTGCCCACTAGTAACCTGTGGACCCTTGTCGCTTTAGAGCATGTTAAAATGCTAGGTTGGGCCTTTGCTTTATTTTTTAGTTTTTCCCCTATGTTTGAGACATACCTTGGCATGTTTTTCAATTTTCATTTTTGCCTCAGATTGAGGTTCGCTCAATATCTCACTCCCTGAGTTCCTGGACCTTCAACTTTTTTGGTTCGCCATGGTGGCAAAGAACAAGTTTGGACTCATTTGGGCTTTGGTCAAATGCTTTCAGGAATCTGACTGTTCCTTCCTCGAGTGGGTGAATATTTGTAAATTCGCCAAGACACAATGCTTTGATGCATCATTTTTCCCATTGGTGGAGACATCAATTCGATCAAGGCAGCTGAACAGTCCAGCAGACACTTGTTACTATTATTATTCATAATATTGTTCGACATGGATGGCATGGCTTGACTTGTTACATTGTTTGACCGCCATGGTGGTTCGAGTCCACCCGATTATTTTGTAGTCTTGGGTCGAGTTCTTTTTCCAAGCCAGAAGGTGTTCATTATTAGGCGATATGAGCGGGTGGAAAGCTGGGGTCTGCTTTAGAAGGACCAACTATTCTAGGGTAGACTAAATAGAATGCTTGCTTTCGGGCTCGGGAAATTCTAACTTGGACGGGGTTTCAAGTGTCGACACTATGTTTGCTGACCTACAAACAGTGTAAAGGAAACACGACAGTTCATGCAAACTTTGATCAACTCCAACACCTCAGTTCATTGGTGAATCAATCTGGCTCTTGTTTTCCCCAGCGAGCTGGCTTTCGCGTTGACTTTCTGCACCCAGGGTCACGTAATTCAAAGCGGCAAGCACCTGGTTGTTGAGAATAGGGGTGGGCTGCTTTTGGAGCACTTTCTGCGATACCAAGAGCATCCCACTCTAAGTGGCAACCTGGGCATAGGGGAACTCACAAGAATGTGGGGCCCATTTTCCACAACTATGGGCAGGCCCGCATCTGCAGGATCCTTCTAAATGTAATGCACCCATGGTTTAGGGTGGCCGCATTCTTCTGGTTTGGAGACCAAGTATGCGGATTTGCCAGGCACGTCAAAGCTGTGGACATGCAGAGCACAGGAATTCTCATCTTCCCGCGTTTCTCGAGTGAAGCAATCCAAAGACTCGGAGTCGTGGGTTTTGCAGGTCTACACAAAAAATAAATCAAAAATCCACACCGTGAAACTCTCCCAGCACGTTTCTTGGGCCCCAGCCGTCAGGCGATTTGCCTTTTAGGGTTTCGTGGTGTTTTTCAGCCTGCGAAAAGTTAGACTAGCAGGGGATCTGAGGACAGCCAAGGTTTCTCTGGCCATTTGGGCTTCAACTGGGGGTCCACACCTTGCACTTAGCGGCCCCAAAGCTCGGGTCGATGGAAGTCGCATCCTCAAAATCGCCCCCAAAGGGGTGGCTTACAGGGAAACCCGCACAAACAAGCGTGTTAGATTGAAGACATATCGGCGGGTGCTGCACGGTTCATGAAAGGCGTGATTTGAGGGTTGATTTGTTGCAGCCCTTTCCACCTAAGAATGAGCACGATATTTTAGAACCCTCCGTGTTCCAGCAAAAACCCTGTATTTACATGAGGAATCGGCAGCAGCTTCGAATCTCTGACGTGCTCATCGCCGTTTTTAATCAGACATACGGGTCTTTGCGCAACAGTTTCGCACAAATCGGGACCAAACCGCCTCGCTAGTTTACGCAGCGAATGAAATACAATCACCCTGCCTAACTCGGTGCTAACTTGCTTATTACTTTTCAATATCCCCCAAAAAAGCAGCCAAAAGGGGGTGGGTAATGCTTGACTTCTCCAGACTCGCTATAGCCAACATCCCCAGTTTCCCAACCTGGGAGCCAGCCTAAAACGCTATCCAAAGCTCTGCGGAAGGGGAGGGTCGCCCGACGCGGTTCGCCTTGAGACTTGGTGAACAACCTGGACTATGTCTTGTCTCTGGACCCGCCCACGCCTCAGACAAGAGAAGCACTGTGAGCCACAATGAAAACTCGGGTAGAGGAAGGTGAGTAAGGGACAATCCCAACCATAAATTGCTGCGGCCGCCTTCTGAATTCTTTGCATGGTTCTGGGTAGACCGTTTTAATACGGGGTTTTGATTATGACTTTTGTGGGGCTGCTAACTCTGGGCCTTCTTCCGGGCCTGTTTTATGCCCAGTCTGCAAATATGGCGAGCTCACCGATGGGAAATTCACGCTTGCCATGATGCGGGTGCTCTACTTGGGGATCCAATTCATGTGCAGCTTTTGGAGTCGCCGTACATTTTTTGCAGAATGTACCGGCTTCCCCTTCGGGTTCCCCTGTTGGCACAGCCCGCAAGGATCAGGTTCTTGGAACCTGCGTTGCCGGTCGGAGGCTTCGCGCGAGGTTCCAGCTTAGACGTCCAACCAAGAAAAAACGGCAACACCCAAAGGGAAGTCTCACACGTCAACTTGGCCCCCAAAAACGTGACGCTTAGCGCCCCCCAAAAAGAGCTGATTGCCTGGTGTATCGCGGCCTTCGCCTCTCGGCCGAAGGGAAGTCCCGAAGAGGATGTGGCGAACGGAAGCTACAATCACCTAGGTCCAGTAGTGCCCGATGTCTCACCCCTTTTGTGTGGGAGGGGAAACCCCCTACTAAAATAGACTGCAGAAAAAAGTTGGTTCTAACTTATTCTAACCTCTCTACTGGAGGACCGCCCTGGCTTTTCGGAAGCTTTGTGTCACACAAATTGAGGACGCGGACCCCAAAACACTCGCCTTCCATGGGTTTCCGGTTGCCTTCAAAGCCAAGCCAGCAGATCTGTCCCATGGCCGGGAGATTGGCTACACGCTGAGCACTGACTTTAAGTGAAGTTCAGGTTGGGTACCAACCAAGCCGGTGTCCATTTGCCTCCAAAAGGGACCGTCCAAGTGGGGTGGTTCCAAGTGGTTTGGCAAGCCCCGGGTTTGTCTAGGGTGGTCTCGATCCTTTTGGTTTCTCAAAGCTCACGGGCCTCCAACAAGGCACCAGCTGGGTTCCATCCGAGGACCGACCCGGCCACCCAGAACGCAGTGCTGGACCTGATCGCGCAGAAGTCGCGGGGCCCAGTCGGACGTGACTGGGTTCCTTCGGGTTGACGAGACAACCCACTGCGCATAGCTTTTTGGTTGTCTTGGTAGAAAAATAGAGGGCGATTCCTGGTTTACCTGTTAATTTAATCATCTACCAGGGCCATCTATTTCCCCTAAAAGGACACCTATCTTCTCCAGACCTTACGATCCCAACATTGTCGAGCCGTCGGCGGATTCGGTTCCCTTTGCAAGAAGCAAAAGGGCAACTTGTTGCATTTGAACGGAGGTTCTTTTTGGGAAACTGATCAGGATGGGTAAGGGTTTGGAAGTGTGTGTGTGTGTGTGTGTGTGTGAAGCGTCCTGGAGCACGGACGGAAATTCCACATTGCAGGGGGACTGGAGCCGATTTGCCTATCCAGTCCAATGAAGCTACGGCATTTCGGTGGATACCGGATCTGATCAATCCGGCGTACCTGCCTATTTCCTGACCCTCGTTCCTGATTCCTTTTGCGGTTTCTGTTTGTCGCTGTTGCTTCCTGTTCGGTGTCGATGTTGTGACCTGTTGATTTGCGTTTGCATTCAAGCATTTTTACTGACTGCGTTTTTCATCTCGGCTAGTGAAGCCTCTCGAGATAAGTGTGTTTACCCACGGCCTGTCCGACATGGCGCTGTGGGCTGGACTCGCCACATGCGGGAGCCCCCTGCGAGGGGAAGACCGTTCAAGTGTTCAATTTCAAGCTGCAGTTCAGTTCAGCGCGATTGACCACGATCAAGGCTGCAGCTTGAGGTCTTAAGGTATTCCGCACCCAAATGGTGCTCTGCTGGTTTCATGCGCGTTGCACTGCCTGCACTGCCTGCCATTGAAGCAAGGCTGCACCCACGAGGTTTCAGGTTCCTAAGCTTCATGCGCCAGTGACGAGTTGGTCATACACCAACTCTGCGATTCGTGGCGTTTATGGAAGCTTTCGTCTCGGATGAGTTCAGTTCAGATTCATCGGCATAGCCACATGAGGCACTTTCCTGAGGCCACTTGACAGGCACCTCTGAGAACCCCTTTGTGCTCGCATGCATTTCTGTGGAAACTTTTGCCGTTGCCGCGGGGTTTTGGCGGTCCCCTGGTGGAATTCCCTCTGTTTGGTTTCGATTCGCAGGTTGAAGTTGGCTCGCATGCATTTGCACCATTGACGCATTTTTGCCGCAGTTGTGGTTTTGTTTCACCCCTTTCCAACCTTCTCTCTCCCTTGCGAGATGGCTGGACACCAGCTCTATGACATGATGCATTCGCTCCTGCACAGCATTGCGACCGGCACCGCGTCCGGCTCACCAGGCAATGGTGGACC